AATGGAGCAAAGGGAAGGCCAGACACTGTAGGCATGTCATTTGGGCAGCTTCACAAGGAAGCTGCAACTTTGCACCCCCAAGGGAACCACTGGCCTATTTCCTACAAAACACTGGGGGAAGGGATCCAACAAAGGGGCGATAGACTCATGCCCAGTAAAGTTGGGATGACATAGGGAAGGTACTTGCTTGTCAGTCAAACTGGGGAACAGAGATCATTGGCCAGAATGTGCAAGCATGCGAAAATTTGAGAACACTTAATCTACTAAACAATGGGGTTCGCTCTCTTGGCTCTTTGTGACTCTTGACTCTCAGGGCTCTGTTGGTCCTGCTTCCAAGCATATGCCTGAATGGCCCTCAGCCATGCAGAATGGACAAATGGACTGCTGTGGGAAACACAAGCTAAGCTAGCCTGATGCTGGACTGGACCCAGCTCCAATGGAATGGAAAGGAAACACTGGACACTGGCTCTGTTTCAGCTCTACTGGAGCCCCAGCTACCTTTTTCTATGCCTGGACTAAGGGAAACAGACCTTTGGAAACCCAGTGGTGTAATTCCACGGAAATAATGTTTTCATCATATCTCATTCTCCCTGTGTGAGTCTCAGAAAATTCCTTTTCTCAGGATATTGCAAGAAACCCACCCCCCATAAGCAACAGGGGGAGTGCGGCCCTCTCCCCTCCATTAACAGTAAGAGCTCATCAAACCTATAGACACAGTCTTCCTTGAAAAATTGTTAAGAACTTGGCTCCCAGCTCTCTGCAATCTCTACTGTGGACTCAGTATCACGCTTAAGCTCCTGGGCAATGCCTTCAGGGACTGTATATGACCCAGGGTTAGGTTCATATGTGACTCCCAGGATGTCAAGATGGGAACTCTGGAATGACAGGTTGCAAAGGGTCTCAGAGTTTGAAAAGGGTCTTTGCAGGTCATGTTACTGGTCTATACATTAGGCCATAGATTGACTCAAATTCCTGGCTCTCCCTTGTCATCCATTTCTTTGATGTTCATTGCATGAAATTTAGGATAAACCAAAACTCTGGGGCTATTCCAAGGAAGGCAGATTTCCTGGAGCCATTCTACTCTGAACATGCTCTTCTTATTCTATTTATCATTCATTCTCCCACACACAATGTGTGTTTTTGTAATCTTCACCTGATAATATATTTTTATTTAATTTTTTAGAGAGAGAGGAAGGGAGAGAGAGAGAAAGAGAAACATCGATGGGTTGCTATTGAATCTGCTACTTAGGTATGTGATCTGACTGGGAATCAAACCCACAACCTTTATGGGATGATGCTCCAACCACCTGAGACACCCAGCTAGGGCCACACAATGTTCTATTTCTTCCCCCTCCATCTGCCATCTCTTTCCATTCATATCTAAATCAGAAATACACCTATCCAACTGGTTGTGTCTATAATTTACCTTCCATTCTCCTTCTTAAAATGTTTTCCAGGCCTAATTCTTAAAAACAAAACAAAAATAAACACAAAATCGCACCACTACTACCACCATCACCACCAAAACAACAAAAGAACATACCACCAAGCAAGAGGATTGGGAAAGTTTTAACCACACACTTTATGTTAAAACTGTTCTTATAAACAACCCCCCGCCCTCCTCCCCATAGCTCTGATGGCTTTGGCTGGGGTTTGAAAGATGGATCTGAGGGAACTGTCACCCTTGCCCCTCAGGTCCCCACCTTGGCCTTGGACTTGGAGCTGAACAGGTGCTCTTTCTCCTTTCCCTCTGCTTTCCCCTTCTGCCTTTTCCTATTGCCCTCCTTCCTCCCTACCTTTCCTCATTACTCCTATTTACTTCCAACCCCGGTTTTCTTTCCACAATTTTCATCCCTCAAAGTTTCCATCCCCAGTTGGGGCCTGAGCTGAACCTCCTACTAAGACCACCTGTGACAAACTGTCCCCAACTCCCATGGTGCCTGATTAGAGCAGTCTCCCGGGCGCCACATGCCTTTGGCAAAGGCACCTTGGAGTCTGATCAATGGCTGCTCAGCCAGTGCACAGTTGTCGGAAGTCTCCTTCCCCAGCTTCCCCCAGGTCCTGGCAGACAAATGGTTCAAGGGATAGTGGCTCACACAATGGATAGTGGTTCAAAGGCTCACACACCGTTCCCCCTATCTTAACACCTTCCCTTTTCCAATCCACAATTGCTGTTATCTCCCTTCTGCAATCCCAGAATTATTTTCAAAATCTAAACTCTTTGCTTAGCTGTCCTGTTCTTTAGCCTTTGTTGTTTTATTATTTAGATATAAACATTTTTTTCTAAAACACAGGAACAAGAAAGGTGCCAGTGTGCTTACCCGATGCATCTAATAAAGCTCACCCAGTTAATTCAGTCATTCTGCACAAAGAAGGCTCACGTCTGCTTTAGTTTTTCTTTCCCTCTAGGATGCTAATTGTTTTCCTTTTCATTATCTGATAGTTTTGGCCTGAAGTCTAAAATCTGGCCTGCTGGGCTATGTGTCAGATTTGTAAATTAGATGACGTCTGTTTTGAATTTTATCATCTTTAATTTTCTTTCAAGCTCTCTTCATTTATTCATTTCCCCTCCAATTGTAAGGATCAGACTTTGCTGGATGCTTTAGACAAAAGCGTCGACCTTTCTGCTTTTTGGGGGCACAGATTAAAATTACTGAAGTTACATGGTCACAATGAAGGCTATTCAGGGAAAAGATGTTGGGAGAGAAGCCTTAGCAACCATCCCAGAGAGGATGAGCAGTTGCCACAAAAGCTGGCTGTCCACACCAGCGTTTTGAAGTTCCCACCGAATAATTATAATCGATTAGAAGGAGATTGACAGTGAAGGTTGAACTGGGTGAAGTATTTTGAATTGAAGAGGTGGTGGAGATGGCAATGGTAGTAGTACGTGAGGTGACTAGTGACCTTTTATCTCTTCACATTTAATTATCCTCTTTGCTTTTTTTCTCAGAGAAATAATAAAGGGAAACTTCAATGCATTCTCATACATGAAGACTCATATTTTGATAGTGAGACCTTATGCTTTCCTCCTATTTACATACCTGCTAAATTCTTCTTTTCATGGGGAAATTGTTTATTGCTTATGGTTTTGGACTTACTTATTAAGGATCAATTTTTCTGTTAGAATGCCTAATGTAATACCCTTGTATAACATGTTTTCCCTTTATATAAACCTTTTTCACAAATATAATCTCACAGATGTCAGTTGGCCTCTTGCAACTTTGCATTTGTAGAGGCAATAGAGAACGGATGAGCGGCTGGCCAGAACATGTGCCTATGCTCTCACATCGGATCCAGATGTTAGTCATCACTGGGAAGAAGAAATAGCAGGCTGGCTGTGGGCAGAATACAAAATGGCTCCCCCAAGCACCAGCTGGAGAAGCTCTAAACAAAATTTCCGAAACCACCCCATGGACATTGGCCAGCAGTGACTTTGTGCTTGCACATAAATGACAAATCACCCCTTCATGATGCTGGCCCTGGATTTCTTGGATGCTGCTGTATTTGGGCTGTTGCTAGGCAGATCATAGGTCTGTGAAAATGCCATTTTTAAATGGAATATATAGATAGTAGTGGTTTTCAGCTAGGGGTGATTTATTAATGCCTGGAGATGTTTGTCATAACTGAAAGAGAGGGTTGCTATTAGCACCTAGTGGGTAGAGACCAGGGATGCTGGCAAATATTCTATAATTCACAGGACAGCTTCACAACCAAGAATTATCTAGTTCAAATTTTAATAGTACCAGAGTTAGAAGCCCTGGTATATAGGTATCTATACATTGAACCAGGTAACAACAGATTTTCATATGCACAACCAAAACTATGGTGTTGATAGAAAAGAGCCCTTGCGATTTGTCTTCCTTCGACGAACAGTGGTTGTTGATCTTGATGACCACTTTGGCCAGATTATACTCTCTGTTGTAGAATGGGGAAAGAGACCCTTCTAGATTGGCTTCCCTCTTTCTACCTTTTTTCTTGGTTATCAGCATCATCTTCCATGTGTATTCAGTCACTCAAACTAGAATCTCTGGGTTTTCATCCACTCTTCTCCCCTTCTCCTCACCACACCTCCTACTAGTGATCAATTCCTCATAATCCTGAGCTCTCACTCCTTATAATGATCTGCCCCAACTTCTTAAATTCCCCACCACCAACCACAATTGAAGGAGCCTATTGTTAAGGTTTCAGCACTAGCATTCTGGTCGCTCTCTCTCTGGCCAGTCTGCTGCTCTTGCCAAATCCATTCAGTGCTCCACAACATTAGCCACTTCCTCATTCATCTAGTCCTTTGGTGAGAAAATATTTATTGAGTGCCTACTCTATGGTCATTTCTGTCCTAGGAGCTATGACCATTCTCTGGATTAAAATCTTCCCAAGTTTCCATGTTGCTTACAGGACAAACCGCTTGATGCAGCATGTAAGACCTCTGATAATCTGCCTCTGACCTAACTTTTCGGCTTAGTCTAATACCCTACGCTGATGACCTTGAACCTGCCACATTGAATCAACTGCCTTTCCTTAGTCCAGCTCACACACTCTTGAGCTCTTTTATCCTTGCATGTGAGGAGTGTCCTTTCTATCTACTCTCATTATTCATCCTGTATAACTTACTCTAGTACCTACACAGATGCTTGGCACATGGACACTACTCAATAAATATGGAATGAACTTAAATTTCACCTTCTCTGCGAAACACTCTTTAATTACCTGGCTGTTGGTTAGTATGTGTCTCATGCTCCCTAGTTCATTGTATGCACTTCTGTTAAAACCCTGTCACATACTCTGACTGTGAACCCCTTGAGGGATGGTGTTTGAGAGTACCCTGTATTTAGAAAAAGTTCTGGTAAGTGTAATAATTTATTTAGAAGTTATTCTAGGTTGAGGTAGTGGGTTTGGCTTTCTTTGGGAAGTTTAACGCCTACAAAAGAAAGTGTAGTTGCCTGTGCTCTGCCTCCATGGGTTCTCGACAGATTCCCGAGTCCACAGAAATTCCTGCTCACCTGCCACTTTGGGGTTTGGTGGTTTCCAGTTGTCGGGTAAGGAGCTTGGCAATGGCAGTGAAGCTGTTGCTCATGCGGAAGATGTCTCTGCTCTGAGGGCCCAGGAGGGAGGAGAATGTGTCTGTGATGCTCTTAATCTCCAGCAGGAGAATATGGTGAAAGGAGTGCTCCATGTTGGCCAGCTGACTCACCAGAAATGGCAGGCAGCTCCTGGCTCTCTCCTGCCAAGAACAACAAAGAATGTGTTCAAGTGTTGGTGGAAATGTAAACTAAGTCAGCCACTATGGAAACCAGTATGGAGGTTCCTCAAGAAATTAAAAATAGAGCTACCATATGATCCAACAATCCCACTTCTGGGAATATTCCCAAAAGAAATGAAATCATTATCTTGAAGGGGTAGCGGCACTCCCATATTCTTTGCAGCATTATTCACAGTATCTAAGACATAGAAACAAGTGTCCAATGACAAATGAATGGTTAAAGAATATCTAAAGAAAATGCATTAGAATATTATTCAGCCATAAAAAAGATTATCCTGCCGTCTGTATTAACATGGATGAAACTGGAGGACAGTATGCCAACTGAAATAAGCCAGACAGAGAAAGACAAATACTGCATGGTGTTAATTTTAAGTGGAATCTGAAACAAACAAATACTCATACAAATTGAGATGAGAAAAGAGGTTGCCAGGGGCTGAGGGAAGGGGAAAATAGGGAGAATTAAAGGGTACAAATGTTTAGTTATAAGATTATAAAATCTGAGGACCTCATGTATAACATGGTGACTATAGCTGATAACATTGTCCTGTGTAATTGAAGTTTGCTAAAATATGGGAGGTGATGGATGTGTTCATTAACTCAATGGAGGAATCCTTTCACAATGTACTGGTATTATGTATATCAAGTCATCACATTATACACTTTAAATATCTTATAATTTAACATCAATTATACCTCAACAAATCTGGGGGGAGGGGATGAGGAAGAACAATGAAGAACAAAGGCCTATATTTTAAGAGTCTCATGACCTGCAGATGGCAGTTCTATGGGTGTTTACTTAGAGAACTAGCTGAAGCTAAACAGCATTTCATTCAGAGTGCCTTTGAATGGGCTTCTTTGAAGTTTTAATTTTTTTCCTGATTTTCAGGAAAACGCTTTAAAATAAAACTTTTGTTCTGTTACTCCTTTCTTATAAATAGGTAAATCGTCTCATTGGCCTATCTCACCCGGTCTAAATCTCTCAACCTCCATTAATAATCTGACCCCATACATCTCCCCTTCCCAAGTTTGTGACTTTCTCTGGCCAGTCTCCAAGTCTGTGCCTCACTAATTCTACCTGCCCAGGAGAGGCCTGGTCAATCCTGGATCCATCCATTTGCCTTGTATCAAATCGGTGTCCAAAGTTTACCTCCTCTCCACACGACACGCTCACTCACTTGTTTACTTTGGGCATCTTTCAATATGTTCCATAGTGTATGTGCCTGGTCAAACAAGTAGATTGTATTACTTAGTTTTAATCAAATTAGCTCTCACAAATGATTTAAAAGAAACTGAAGATGAACAATGACATGAACAATGCGGGCATGAGTGAATAACCAGAAAATGGCTTAGCTGACATGTTTCCTATACCTATCAGTACTCCTCAGCAGCCATAGTAGGAGGTGCCATAATTTAACCCAACATGACTAGAACTTACCCAAATTTTTTTTAATTATCAAGAAAGCTATTTGAAATGTAAATGTGCACCTAACATAAATAATGATATACCATTGAAAAATAAAATAATTTTAAATATGGCTTATTTCATTTTTAATTCCTCTTTTAAAATCTTTTTTAAAAAAATATATTTCATTGATTCTCTACAGAGAGAAAGGGAGTGGGACAGAGAGCCAGAAACATCGATGAGAGAGAAACATCGATCAGCTGCCTCCCACACACCCCCCACTGGGGATGTGCCCGCAACCAAGGCACATGCCCCTGACCGGAATCGAACCTGGGACCCCTCAGTCCACAGGCCTACGCTCCATCCATCAAGCCAAACCGGTCAGGGCTAAAATCTTATTTTTATGTATTCAATATTTTTGTAATGTTAGCATAATAGAAAATATGTATAACTATAAATAAGTATATGTATTGGAAGTTGATGCTCAAAATCCCAAGTGATAAGTGGTAAGTTATTCTTCTCACCAGGAACTCCCTTTTACTCCTTGTTCTAATATTTGACACCTTAATTTCTTTCAACATGTAAATCTTGTCCTGTCTCCTCCATGAGCTCTCCACTGTGCCCATTTCTTTCTGAATTTTCACTGTAGTATAGATTATTTTTTAAAATATTGTTTAGCACTTGATCATTTCTTTATTCTTGTTTTTATTTAGTTACCAAATAGGTATTACATGCCTATATATGCTTGTAATAGATTCTAGATGACAAAGATGAATTGGTCTCTGCCTTTAAGAGACCCACAATCCCCCTTTCATTTATAATTCTCTAGTGGTTACATGTACCAGCCAAGTCTCCTAAAGGGGCTACTTCTCATATATCAATCATCTGCCTGGCACAGAACTGAGTGTGTATGTCTCGGTTCATTATTTGAAGCAATCTCCCAAGCCAAAATATGACCTGACAAATAAAGCATGTAGTTGCAAAGGAATCTGTGCTTTACAAGAAATACTTATTACAGAACAGATTTAAGTAGTGAAGTTCTCTACTCTTTAATACTTAACTTGATTTTCAAAGATTCCATGTACAATTGCACCGGAACACATCTCTTGGGGAAGTAGAATACACAGCTTGACAGCTAATTGAAGAGATATGTATTCATTAAAGGATTAAAATGTTAGATAAATAAAAAATAAGACCATTGGAACAAGTTCCTGACAGCCCATTTTCTATTTTTGGCTCATACAATTGCCAGGTTGCAGAAGGACACTTAGATGTTCTCAGATGCTCTTGAGTCTAATATATATATTGCAACATAGAGTCTTTCATGCATGCAAGGGCTCCGAATGTGAATTCATAGTATGCAGTGCATCTCAGGGACATTTTCCATTCCCCATTTAAAGGCAAAAGCTGGGTGGGTCCCTACCATGCGCTAGGCCCTGTTGTAGACGTTGGGAACACAGAATTGAAGAAAATGCCTGCCATGACAATGAGGCAACAGATAATAAACAAAATGCATATGTAAAATCTATAGTGTGTTGGATAGAGAAGTGTGCCTCAGAAAAAGATGGGGCAGGGAGGGTGTTGATGTTAAATAGTGTCACCAGGTCAGATCTCACAGAGAAGGAGACATCTGAATTCAACAAGCTTTTAAAGTCTAAACCCAACATTCTCAGTAACCATAGAAAATAATTACAGTACAAGTCACCCTGGTCGATACAGGGAGGTCAGGAGATGAAGAACTGGGACATGGAAGATGTGCCATTTTCCTACTGAGCATGTAATTTCAAATTTCAAGTAACTTCCTCAGCTTCTGATTCAGATTTCTCTTTAGCAATTTTTTTTTCACCATGTCACAAACATTTCATGTGCTCATCTAAGTGTCCCTATAATTTCATTAAGAATTCTCACCCTGGCCTGGTGACTCAATAGGTTGGAGCATCATCCTGTACACCAAAAGGTTGTGGGTTCGTTTCCAGGTCAGGGCACATACCTAGATTTGGGATTTGATCCCCCACTCTGGTGTGTACAGGAGGCAACCTATGATTCTCTCTTTCTCTCTCTCTCCATTCCTTTCTCTAAACATATCCTTGGGTTAGGATTTAAGAAAATAAAGAATTCTTTTCATTATAAAAATTAGCAAGCCCTTTCTTTAGAGCATTTGTCTTCCTAAAGGTGAGGATGGCTGTGTGAGTATTTGCTGAAAACAACATAATTCTGAATGATCTTCTGGCAGGCAAACTGAGCTGAAGGGAAAATTAATCACAGTGCAGGAACAAGAAAAATCATGGCTCTGGAACTAGCATATGAAACCAAGCCAATTTCATATGGTTTGTTCTGAAACCTTGGAACATGTCCAGGTACCTCTCAGGGGTAACAGATATAATTTGGGATTAGAAAGTGTGATGTTAGGGTAAGAAGGGGGTTAGGAGATTCTGATTTCTTTCTTGGATCCATGACATTTTGTCTCAGGAGCCAGTGATTGCATTTTTTTCTGCTTTCAGTCACCTCACTGTGGGGACAGGGTCAACAGTACCTATTTCAGAGAGGAAGGGAGAGGGAGAGACAGATAGAAACATCAATGATGAGAGAGAATCATTGATTAGCTGCCTCCTGCATGCCCCCTACTGGAGATCAAGTCCACAACCCGGGCATGTGCCCTTGACTGGAATCAAACCCAGGACCCTTCATTCCCAAGTTGATGTCTATCCACTGAGCCAAACCACCTAGGGAAGTACACCTTAATTGCAGACCTAGCCTCATCTCTTCTGAAATAAATTGATTATTTATTATTAAAATAATAATAGCTAGTCTACAGAGAGCACTTAATATAAGTGACAAGTCTATTCTATATGTTTTAAAAATGCAAAGGACCTAAATAGACCCCTTTTGAAAGAGGACATACAGAAGGCCAAGAGACATATGAAAACATGCTCAAAGTCACTAATCATCTGAGAGATGCAAATCAAAATGACAGTGAGGTACCATCTCACACCTGTCAGAAGGGCTATCATCAACAAATCAACAAACAACAAGTGCTGGCGAGGATGTGGAGAAAAAGGAACCCTTATGCACTGCTGGTGAGAATGCAGACTGGTACAGCCACTGTGGAAAACAGATTGGAGTTTCCTCAAAAAATTAAAAATGAAACTCCCATTTGACCCAGTAATTCCACTTCTAGGAATATATCCCAAGAAACCAGAAACACCAATCAGAAAGGATATATGCACCCCTATGCTCATAGCAGCACAATTCACCATAGCTAAGATATGGAAACAGCCTAAGTGCCCATCAGCAGATGAGAGGGTTAGAAAACTGTGGTATATCTACACAATGGACTACTACGCTGCTGTAAAAAAAAAAAGGGGGGGGGGACTCTTACCATTTGCAAGAGCATGGATGGACCTGGAGAGCATTATGCTAAAGAAATAAGCCAGTTGGAGAAAGATAAATATCACATAATCTCAGTCATTTGTGGAATATAATGAACAGCATAAACTGATGAACTAAAATAGATCCAGAGACATAGAAGCATTGAACAGACCATCCAATCTCAGAGGGA